GGGCGTGTTGGGAACGATGGAGACGTAGGCGGTGGAGGCGGTATTCCGGATGGGTTCCAAAAGGGTCGATGGGTCGTCATGGCATAGTGCAACGGGCCACGGAACGCCGGTACTGCTTGGTGCCAACCATGTGGATGACGAGGTGGTGTGCGCGAGCGATCCGGCTGGGAAGGAGGAATTCCATTCATATCCGCGCTGTATTGGGAGATCAGGTCCTGGGACGCCATGAGGTAGAGAGGGTCACAAGACAATAGGTCAAAATGCGCTCGAACTGCCGAATGAAAGCTGCGAGAAATGTCAGGGTGAGACAAGGATAGTGTGCGAGTGAAAAAGTGAAACATAATACGAGGTTCCAGTGTGTGAAACATAAGGTGAAAACGAATCTTGCGCAAGGATCCACAATATGAGCATGCAGCGAGTCACAAACCTTTTGAGGAAGAAGTGGCAGCAGTACCGAATGTCGGGAGAAGCATTGTTACTCCAAAATAATCGGGCAGGGCCACTAGGCTCACTGGATCGCCGACGTAGAATAGTCGATACTTGTTCTGGTACTCCTCAAGGGTAAAGAATTCACCAACGAGATTTGGAGTGGTGGGTCGAATGTCGAGAACGAGGTCGGCCTTCATGGTGCTGGTCGCGAGAATGGTCGTCATAATATGAGGATCGGCGATCTCGGCGGCTGTAGGTGGAATTGTCCCAAGCAGCATTGTCATGCCAAGATCGGCGAGCATAGTCCCGGGAGCCAGAGGTAGCAGTCTCGCGGCGGCTCGGTGTATTGTGAGAGTCGTCCGGGGCCGGCTCCGAAGGTTCTGGGGCGTCGGCAGAAGGGTCAGGTCGTACTGGACGTGCAGAATCATCAGGAGGTTCCGAAGGGTGCATTGGTCTCCGCAGTCTGGTGTGTGATCAAGCCCGGGAAAACCTGGTGAGTGGAGGCGACGTAGCATATAGATGCAGCGCTTGAGTTCATAGCCGTTGCATTGTCTTTGCCCTTGGCGATGCCCGCAAGGTTGCACAAGCGTTGGATTTGGTCATTTCCTCCAGCTAGGGCACGGATGCATTTGGGTGAGCGGCATATGGCCAGCAGGCCTGATGGGTTTTGTCCTTTGCCTATTTTGTAAAGCTGAGAGGTACAAATCCTGACAGCATAGCCGGGTAGGTTGTCGGTGTCTGCGATCTCAGAGGACATTCCGAAGAACCCGTAACACGGGTATTGGGTCGGTATACCGGCTTCGTTTTTTGTCCAAGTTGCCGGGCGGATGCAGTCTTCAGCAAGAATTTTGGCAACTGATTCCCAACTTGTCTTGTGGTAGATCAGGTAGGTGCCCATGTGTTCGCCACGGTAGATTGGTTTCTTCTTCAATCCTGTGGGAACCGTGATGGTCAGCAAGTTCTCTGGTTCAATATAGAAGGCTTGTGTTTGCTTTGCAAGTTCGATGTCCAGTAAGTCGGATTGTGCAAAGGCCCTGGCAATATTCCTGACGGTGGCTTGGCTGGCTTTGATCCAAATACGATGGTTGTTGACGGTGCGGTATGGTTTAGCCAACTGTTCGAACATCGCGTCCACAAACTGGTTGAAGAGCTGCAAGATAGCCGGGGTCAATGATTGGCGTAGAGGAACAACATGATCGGGGCCAAGCTCGGTCAGGCATCGAACTCTATGGGGGTCATTGGCCGCCGCCACCATTTCATCGAGGTCGATGTCATTCGTGTCAAACTTGGTGAGCGAAATGGTATCAGCAACCTCAGAATTTTCACTGTCGCCGTCCGGAACTCGGAAGGACACCGCGCCGAGTGGTGCTGAAGTGTGGGTTGGTGGGTTGGTTTGTGGTTCCGATGGTGGTGGATCAGTAGGAGAATTGGGTCGAGCAGTGTGGTGGTCGTAGGCGTCGTTGTAGTGGCTTTCGTTCCATGTACCCCAGGTGTCATCAGCATCAGGAGTAGGAATGTAGTTCGGATTGGATGGGTTTGCAGCAGGTCGAAGTATGACTTCACGGCCTCGGGATCGGTGACGTGGTGTCGCGGAGCGTGGGCGTGGATGGGAGCGGTGACGTCGAGGGACCACAGGAGAGCGGCGTCGTGGTGGTGAGCGTCGTCTGTATGGAGATGGTGTTCTGCGGCTCTTGTCGGGTTTCGTAGATGATCGATGACGAGGGAGAGGAGAACGAGGTCGCTCTGTACGTGGAGGAGAATGGCGAAGGCGATAGGAATGTACAGAAGGTCGATGGGAACGTGATCTTGGAGTTCGGGATCGTGGTCGGCGTGTTGGTGGTGGTGGACCGTGTGGTTGGTGAGGAGGAGCGATGGTTGGAGCTGGGACAATGCGATGGTCCTGAACGTCCGGTTCGGTGGGTCTGGCCTTTGGTGCAGGTGGAGGCGTGGCGATCAGTGGTGGTGTAGGTGTAGGTGGCGGTATCTGTGGTGTAGGATTCGGTGGATGTTCATCTTGTTGAAGAAGGAGTTGACGTTGTTCTTGTGCCCGTTGAGAATCCATGAGTAATAGTTGCTGAGCTTGGATAAGTCGAACAGATTCGGCCAGTTGTTGTGCGGTGGAACCCAGGGATGCAAGTTCAGGTGGAACGGATGAAGTCGGTGCTGTCTGAGGTGTCGATGGTGTAGCGTGAGGAGGGGTTTTCGGAGCTGGTCTGCGCGGTCGATCCGGTCTTTTGTCAGAGCGATGCCTGGGAGCTGCTTTGACTGCTGGGGGCCGTGGTGAAGGCTCATTTGGAGGGATCGTCGATGCGTCCATCTGTAATGGAGGTTGAATGTGGTGAGGTGGGTATGGAGAACTGGGCAAAGGAGTCGGTGTCATAGTCGATGTAGGTGGTGTAGTCGATGTAGGGGATGGAGCCGAAGTGGAAGGCCACGCGGGTGGAGCGGTAGGTGCCATAGGAGATGGAAAAGTCGACGGAGCGGTGTGTACCATAGTTGGTTCAGGAGCCAAAGGTGAAGGCATGGTGGGTACAAGTTGTGGACCTGGTACTGCATGAGGAGCCGAAGTCAATGAGGTGAACGGCAACGATGTTGGGGCGGATGTAGACGGCATGAGCGAAGCGGAGGATGACCATGTAGGATGCAAAGCCGAGGGATGTCCAAATAAATGTGCACTCGGTGTCGATTGCGGCCACGTCGAAGATGGGTTCGAAGGCTGTGGTGGAGCAGGCCATGATGTTGGAGTGTTCCACGGATGCATCGCTTCAGTAGGTCAAAACAAAAGTGGACAATTGTAAAAAGTTTCACATACAGGATTCAGTCCCTAACTACCTACAAAATCGTGCAATTATTCCCTGCACCGGGACCGTGGTCAAGTCGTGCCGCAATGGCATAAAACAGCTTTCAAGTTCCAACGAATTAGGTGCACAATATGTTTCACCTCACCAGACAACCATCAAAAGAAAGGATCACCACACCTGAAAGTCGTGTGCCTGCCTGATTTCTCTGTCATGATTTGATGCAACGGTGTTGCAAAGCAGCTGCAAAAAACGGAGGTTTCAGAACATTCGGAATGGCTTCCCTTGAAAGAACGCAGCACTGGGGTCCCTGGGACAATAGGAGCGGCGGGACATCACAAAAGGCGAATAACCGAAAGGCTGGCTGTTGCACTTTACTTAAATGAATTACTGAGTTGAAAAGTGTAAATTCAGAATTCAAGTCTGTCAACACTCACCCTGAAGAGGGTTGCCTCCAATGGCTCCATGGCACCATGTCGGAGCCACCATGGAAATCACACTAGACAAGAATGGATCATTATATGATCCGGCAGGAACTGAATCCTGAAACATGCAAACCAGCCTAGATTATTAGATGAATAAAAGAGCCACATGAGGTACTTCTCGCAAACGATGTAGGGCATCCGAAATTGTCAAACGTAGTCATAACCAGATTCCATAGAGTTTTGACCAGCATGTGGAAATCCAAAATAATGTTTCGGCGATTGTTTCCCAAAATAACCCATAGTTCGTCGGCGACAGGATCTCGGCGAAAATAAGTCAAAAAACATAATACTGTCGGCGATATGGTTTCGGCGAAAATCTGAGGAAGGTTCTGATGCATGTAAATGTCAAAATTGATTCCAGATTGCGTCAACAGTGCAGTAAATTGAAATTTCAAATGGACGACGTGGAGGTTCTTGGGTTGAGCCTCTTCCCATTTCAGTAAGTTGGCAGGTACGTCACGGTGATCAGCCGTGATATCACAAGCATTGGATAGGTGTCTTCGTTGGCACCTGACCTATCCATGCTCCAGGTGCCCCCTGCAAATTAGTGAAAACCAATCAGAAGTTTTACATCTCTTCAGATGGTACACACACACACACCATCTTTCACACACAACTTTGTCACACACGGACCATCTTTCTTTGTCACCCACGATATTTCACATACGACTTTGTCACACACAAAACTTTGTTTTACTTCTCGATCCTCCACCACATCCTTTGTCTTTCCTTCCTTCCCCGTCCCCGCTACAACATTTGGTGCTGGTTATTGGAAGAAGTTGCGTTGTGGGGTTAACCTGTCCTTCCTTTGTGTGATTTTGTTCTGCCGGAACTTTGTCTTGCGGAGGCATGTTCCTTCTGACTAAGCATGGTGCACGAATGGTGGAAATGTGTCATGGGTGGAGATGCATGTGCGTACGCAATGCGCAAGTTTTCGCGAATGCTACCCCCCGCCCCACAGAAAACTTGCTCGGGGTCGCTGCAGGCGATCGGGAAAAACCAAGAAGTTGCATCAACACAATTCACAATGTATGTACTGTATGTTTGCTGGCTTGTATGCATGTAGTTCCTTGAGTTTAACAATGAACCCAATCAAATTGGCACTTCAATCTTGCACATGCACACATGTTGATGTATGATGATGCATCCTTGCTACTAATTTGTGGATGGAGATGAATGCCCAAATATCCATGCACAAACCTAAGCCCACGTTACCCCCGCCATGAACTCTCTAGTGGATGCTGCCCATATCGTCCAACATCTTAAGCACCTACCCTGCTTGTCAAGGCCTGGGTGGACTGAGTGACGAGGAGTAGCAGCAAGGCGTTCAGGGCCAAGTCTGCCACGTTGATAGACCTGGCCTTCCAAGGCAAGTATAGCGCTGCAAAGATGGTATACACCAAGAGGATGGCAAATGCCTGCAGGTGACGTGACTGGCCGTAACTACAATGACTATGACCAAATTCCTGGGGTGATATATGGGTGCATAGGGCATCTGCAGCTTGAAAAACTGTGGTGGTTTAAGGATGTTCATGCCGTTAGAGTTACTGCGCCAGTGAGGGCGGTAGCACGCCCGCTCTGAACCCAACCCTATGAGCTGATGGTAGCTGAAGCCGGCCAGGTGTGACGCGGTCTTGGCACTCTGGAAGCCCCAACCACAGCACACAGCTTTTGTCCAAAAACACAAGGATTCGAATAATCATGAATAATCGTTTGTCAGTTTGATTGTTGTAGTCGCAAACCTTGGGAAATACAAGTCCAGGCCCGACCATAAGCAAACAACATGGAAGATGAATAGCCGCCAACACTTGAAAATTCTAACCAGAAGATACCAGAAGTTCATCTTCCAGAACAATTTTTCGGGGTTCTTGTTGAGGACCTGCGCACCCTTTCAGAAGGCTACCGGCTGCACAGGCCAGCTGCAACTTCTCGACGCCAAGCGACCGAGGTGATTTCAGCTCGTTGCAAGTCAGTGAAAATGACGATTACAAGGCTGAAGCCCAAGCCGCGAAACAGCAGAAGCACACCAAACCTTGAGGAGTGACCCTGCAAAAAAAAACAAATAGAAACCATCAATGGGAGGACTGGCGGATCAGTTTAGCTGTGCGTCCCAGGGACGAACCCATATGCTACATATATCACCGTCCTTCCTCTAAGTTCCTGTCTTTTTCATCATTGACCAGTTGTATAACAATACAGCCTGTCACGCCAAGCAGCCACCAAATGTCAAGGCGAAATTTGCCTCCGGCGGACAGGCAGCGTGGCGGCTGGACACCACCATAAAGATTGTACAGTCGAACAACTTCTTGGTGAAATCGTTA